CTGTATACAGAATAAATTTCGCCCCCCAGCTATGTTGTGGAAGGAGAGGTGGCGGCGTCGACCAGACATTAACCTAGAGGCGATACTCCTTCGAATGACTCCACAAGACTGGTCCATGGAAGACTCTGCGGGTACCAATGACGCAACTAGTAACCCTAAAACTTTACCAGAGCACACTGTCACTTAAAATAAAGAAGGCTTCGGGCAGAGACCGGGTACTTCCCCGTCGATGCTGGCCACACTTTAATCGAGTAAATGTGGCTGCAGAAGCATTAGTCTGCTGGAGCCTCTGACAAAGACTGCGGCGAAAGGCTCGGTCTACCGTGTCTACATCAGTGTAATATATTTGACCGCATGGAGTGTCCGCCACTGAAAGCCAAAAAATAGACACTGCTACAAGCTTTTGACACCACAAGATCTGAAAAAAGGTTTTAAAAATGCAAAATCGCAGCAGCATAGTACCAAAGCTGCCAGCAGCAGGTCGCGATACTTCCGCCACTTCTTACTGAACACACGGTCGACGTCCGAGGCCAGAGCTTGCACTTTCCAATGACGACTCAGTGGAGAGGAGACATTTAAGGCTGTCTAAAAAGAGGAAACAGGAGACATAACGCAATCAGTTACTCACATTGAAGGCAGACATAATCTCCTTAGGGGTCTGGAGTAAACTCTACAAAAAAATTAAGAAACTATATAAAAAAAACACGCACCGAGCGAGAGCGAGAGAGGGCACGTGTAATGCAATAAAACTATTAACATAGATAAATTTCAAGTTAGGAGGAGCTATAGGTAAACTACCAGTCTGACACCTAAGTAAACTTGAAACACGCAAACAAACAGCGGAAGAGTTCAAAATGGCCCATGGGTGTCACCTTTTGGTTTTTGGGAGAAGAGGTGGGAAAATGTTGCCAAAGTAGACTGCCGGCCTTCAGGGATACTGCAAAAACGAACGGATCCGCCACCTCGGAATGACTAAAAGAATTTAAACTGGGACTGAAGGATACGGTTGTATCAAAAGTAAGTGAGCCGAAAATTGTAAGCGACTGATGCGGAACGTACCTTGGAGTGTCATTTTCGAAGATGAAAAGGACAGTGGAACAAGAAAGGACCCGCTTATGGAAACAATCCACGACTTGCAAAGAAAAGGCCGGCTTAGAGGCAGTCGCGATGGGCACGGAAAACGACTTTGACCATAACGTGTTCAGATGTCGGGACAACAGCCATAAACGAAATGGAGTGTGTTCCGCCGAATGATTGAGATGTTCCATGGCAGCGACAACAACAACCTTTAAGCAAATAATTAAATAAAACGGAGGCTTCTTAGCACAGTAAAATAATTATAGCACACAATATATTAGTGTGGGGCCAGCTTTACCATGGAATGTGTAATTAAAAATTAATGAGCAGGAGCAAAGTTTAAGTAATTGCATAAAAGATGAGATTTTAGTCTTCTGTAGTTCGTAGATTTATAGTTAAAATGACCTCAGTAGAAAAAGGCGTACGTATAAATGCATATCATCGTTCACTAAGTTTTCTCAGTTGAGGTGCTATCAAATCGACTTCGAAGAAGAATATAACTAGGAAGAACAACTTAGAATTTAGAATTATATATCATAGCCAAGTTAACAGCAATCTACAACCGGAAATATTTTTCCTTCGGACTGAAAATGTGACAAAACGCAGAAACGAATGCTTAAACTTTAGCATCTGACAACCTGTAACGATTTTGAAGCAATTTTTAGGGAATATCAGACAACCTGTAACGATTTTAAAGCAATTTTTAGGGAATATCAGTGGATAAGACAAAGCAAAGACCATTGGAAAGCCTTAGGTATGATCAATTTCAAGCGGTAGATACTGTTTTTCACTCAAACCTCGCCTTAAACAGTCATCGCCATTGCGGTTTACAGAGCAAACGATTTTCCATAAATTTATATATCAGTTAAGTTATACAGTAAGATAGGACGACAGGAATTCGAACATTGATGGAAAGCTTACACTGCAGATTATTTACTTCGTAATCATTTTCACGTCTTATATTCCAAAGTAATAAGTATGAATTACTGAAGCAAGGTTGTAATACTGATTAATGTGCAATCTAGGCTTAAAATGTTTAAATCATGTCAGGATGTCGGCTTTTAAACAAGTTTCCCTCCGGTAGTCTGTAACAGATGATCGCGTAAGAAGTATGCATTTCTAGCATTGACCTTCAATGCTCTCGTAAATGCAAGTATGTCTTATAGAATGCATGCACAAACATGTCGGTGAATTTATTTCTGTTTATAATCTTTCTTGACCACATTTGGTAGCGAATTACGTCTAATTCAAATGCCATGCTTGAAAAAATGGTATCTTTCGGTTTTTAAAAAACTTTAAAATTATGCGATTGCTTACGACCGTCGAATGGTCATTGATAATGCATTGTACCTGACAAGTAATTAATGTTTCCTACAATTTATACAGTACGATTAACCAACATTGCAAAAATTTGTGAGAACTATGTGATCTCTACGGTAGACAAGTGTTATTTTCCTTAGACAGAATGAACGTAGCATGTAGTTTAGAAACATTGAGGAATACGTAATTTGCTATCAAACGTGTTCAAGAAAGGTTATATTGTGCATGATTTTTGTAAAATATAAGGGCTCTGAAAATTAATGAGAAAATTAATACCATTTAAGTGGCTATTTTTTACGGAGCAAACGTATCTGCAAGTATCCGCAAAGAAGCTCGTTAAGAAGCTTAAATCCTGATGGGCCTGAAACATCTTGAGATTGGGCTACACACTAGTTAGGTAAGTAACCTAGGTAAGTCAACTAAGTAATTGCATTCGAAAATTTAAAAAAAGCATTTCAGAATTTCGGTCTACGTTTGATGAGATAGGAAATCTACGATATTAGTACAGTCTATTAGAAACTCAAGAAGCTATTCAGTCGTTTTTAGTTCTTAAACAAGCCTTGTGCATTTGCTCCCTGATTCACAGCCGTTAGCGTCCATGATGATACTGCACTGGCGGCTGCACGACAATATAGTAGCAACTCGATTTTTGCTGAGTTTCCAACTACTTGCGTGATATCCTGAGACGGTGCTGTCTGCGTAAGTAACGCACGCCCGCTGAAATAGCTCCAAGTACTCCACAACATATTTACCCTATGTGACCATGAAAGATTTACACGGGTATTCAAAAAAAATTGTCCATGGTCAACACGCAGTACCAAAACGAGGCATTGAGTGCTCATTCACAGCCTTTGTCGTCAGGTAAAGACGCTAGCCTTTTGAGAAACCGTGTCCAATCAGTGCAAATATGGCGCTCGCTAAAATGCAAAGCGCTGAGTACGAAGAGTGGAGCACCCAAGAGGCCTGGGTAGAACGACGTCAATCGGCATGTGAAAGATATCAGAGTGCGTGCGTCACAGAGGACGTTGGTGCAACTGATACTACTCTATAGGACGAACCGATGGGTCGGTTAAGACTAATATCCAATAACAAAACTAGCAACAGGCACAAACGGTGTCAGTAGAAGCTAGAAATTAAAATTGCACAGTTATCGTGGAGGCTAGCAATTGATTAAAAAAGCATTTATTTGCACACAACAATATAATAAATCGTACCTGATCACCGTCTAACCAAGCGGAGGCGACTTTTGGCGGAGTTGAATAGTTGACAATAAAGTGAAAATCGGAGGTGAGATGGCGCAGATTCAGATTCTTTTTGACGGAGGCGTCCAAATGAATGTCTTCAGAATCGTAAGGAAGCTCCAGTGACCGGATAGTCAATATTTTTGATGAAATGTCAACACATGGAAAAAAGATCCACGACCTGTGGGAGTCTCCAGTGGGCGTAAAAGAAACATCTTGCCAACGCAATACGGGGCTACCAGAAAAGCTTATGTTCAGTGCGTCCGCATTAGATAGAGCATTGTACACAATGGAGAGCACTATTTTGTACTCATAAAATTTTAGGTGAAATAAGAGAAGAGTCAAAAAACAAGTGAAAATTAAATAAAATCTTGAGAACATCATTCGGAAAGCCTGCACACCACATTCGAATTTGTACACTTCCACGGTAAATTATCCATATACCTTTAAGGTAAAAAAATAATAATGTTTTTTATTTCTATATTAGGACCATTTCTGCAGTTTCTTTAACCTTTTGTACTTTTTTCTTTGGGCAAGTTGAGTCGCGTGTTTTTCGTGCGGTATATCTGAGACCAGCTTTCTGGACGGTATAGGTTTTCCATTTATAACTATGCTGACTTCTTATCCCCTTGATTTTCATCTCTTCTGTTTATGTGTGATATTTTTCGTTGATTACCTCTACCCTGAAGTAAACTTGACTTAAGAGGACTTCCCTCGATGCTGACAGTGTCTGACGTTTCTTGAAAACATTCTCTTTTCTCCAGGAGCTTCCGTTCAGTGGGGCGTTACTGTGACGCTGCCTTTTCTGTGATAAATACTAACAAAGCTTATTCCAACTTTTTAGAAGTCCGAGTTTCCTCCAATCCAAACAATTTCTTGGTTGTGTTAAGCAATAGTTGTTTCAAAATTGGTTTTGAACTCTATAAGTCGGGGAATTTGGTTTCTTTGGCTCTTTGGGTTCCTGTATGTGGGTCCTCCTCATATGCTTGTACCCTTCTGTCAGATATGTTTTTTTGTTTAAATCCTACGCACTTTTGCTTTCGCCAAACTGGTCCGAAATACGCACATTTCCGGTAACCACCGCACGTGGCGCGTTTTGAGCATTCCTGTTTACTGTCCTGCATTTCCTGCATCATACCATCTCACCGGTCTCTGTTATCTTCGCCCGCCAACGACACCATTCTCTGGAGATCATCTCTGGGCTCAGGATCAACTGGCGGTGATTTGAACGCGAGTTTCCTTGTAACTCTTCCGACTTCGGACAGACGAACTGAGATCGCAAAGTTCACAAATCCATCCTTCAGCAAGTCAAATCTATGACTACTGCGACTAAGGATTGAGGGGATCTAGTGAGTCGTATCGTTCACCTTTTTATTGTAATTTTGGCGAGACTGATTAGTGAGGCCAAGGCGATATTGGGAAACCAAGGTCCTTCTGTCTTACG